TGGTGTGCTAGAGCTTGGAATGAACAGACCATATGGTTTTGATGCGTTGTGCTGAACGAGATATTTTCAACTTACTTGATTCCCACGATTCTGTTGTGAACCCACCGCCAATAAAATTTCCACTTTTAATCACCACGAGAGCCTGCTTCGGCCATAAGCCTCTGCGCTTCAGATAGTTTGGCGTTCGCTAAGTCGCTAGCTTCAGCCATTACATTCTGGGCATCGGTTAATTTTGCACTCGCCAATTTGAATATAATCAACTCCTGATCTTCTTTAGCCGTCATATTTTAGGAAGACATTTACTTCCTGCTCGCTAACTGAAAGTAATAACTACAGTGAGCTCCTGTCGAATTCTTTCTAGTCAGCGATTTTCAGAAGAAAGCTTCGTGCCCAGGATTTTTGCTTTCAGCCACCACGTCGGTCACGCATTCAATGCATCCGAAAACGAGTAAAATCGATGTTTTTCGAACTTTCCCGGCCGATAATGCTATAAATCTCTGTAGCATGAGCGTCACCTAATCAGTTTTTAAATTCAAAGCTGCCTCTTTCAAGAAAACTCGCTTTTAGGTATGCGAGACAATCAGGTTTGTAACGTTTGAAACTGAAGTACGGGTTTTACTTCAAGGTTTTTATCGTGGAAAAGAGGGGCTTCTTTGTCTCAGGTATTCAAAACGAAAGCTCAATACATTTGAAGTCCAACTTTAACACCAAACGAAAACTCAAAAGCGATCTTCCAAACAATATGATTAAAAAAAAAAAGTAAAATAACTTCTGTTTTTTTTACACGGCTCAGGCGAAGGCTAATTTTCACTCAGTGGACGTAGATGTCTTTTGCTTTATTGAACATGTTCTGTCTGGCATTTGTTACCTTATAGCAATTTACAAAACTTCTTTTTCTCAGTTAGCCTGAAAAGTGTGCTATTCAAAACTGGGTTATTATCTCAAGTAGACGGTTATATTTAGTATTTAAAAGTCAACTGTATCCTGAAATACTCATCTCGTATTTCAAAAAGCAGATTTTGCTTCTAAAAGATAACTTTAAAAGATAACTTAAGATAACTTAACTTAACTAAAGTTAACTTTAAAAGATAACTTTAAAAACTTCCAGATCATCGATGTTAAATGGACACGTGCCGCAGAAATACTTCTTTTTATCAACATTGTCAGGACACTTCAAGCCAAAACCAAGGTCAAGATTGCTACCGATTGTCGACCAGACTTGAAGATCATAACACTGTGTGGAAGCGGTACCGAATGTTGGTCCCAAATCACTTTTACAATGTATACTTGCATTTGTCTTCGTAGCTATCTTCATGGGCTTTGTTCCAAAAGGATTTACCAACGTAAACAGGAACTGAAATGGCTGTCTTGCTTGGCTTTTAGTTGAAACGCTAAGTGAAGTAATCAAACTGAGGCATGAACAAACTATCGCATGAATCACAAAGAGCAAATTTAAACTTCATTCATACCAAAAGTGTCTTTTAAGAATCAGTTTTGTTTAATACGATTGAAATTTTTTTTTTCATAGGAGCTTCTTATATCTATGTTTGTTGGCTTCAAATGTAGCACATTGAAAATACAGTTGGCGATTACTTGAATCCTATAGAAATCTCAGTTTTTCAGTTCTCCGTATCTGATTTTCATTCAGTTAAGCCTGGTTCAATCAAATCTATTTTACTCGGTGTGAATGGACCTTTCGACTTCGTCGAGATTCTCAGTAAAACGTTTTTTTTCAATAAATACAGAATGGAAAATTTGTTTCAACTAAACCAAAGACATGGCTCAGTTCACCAATGAGTCATCTTTAGCTCAGTGGTATTGGATCACCCAACCGTACGAACATGAACGTTGAGCGTACATGCTCACTCTCAGTTTCGTGAACAACGCATCGATAACAGCTTTCTCATGTGAAAGTTCATTTACATGCTTGTTACCGTTCATGTAATGAAATGCACTGTAGCATTTTCACTCTTACCCGATTCCCACGATTGTGACGAAAAGCCTTCAAAGACATACGGCCCGACTCTAATCACCACAATAGTGGGACCTCTATCATCGCAGCAACGATGGAAGTCAGCTGGAGTTTGTCCATCAAAAGAGGCTTGGTACAGCAATGAACAATTAGCACCTGGCGGCAGCCACGATAGGAGAATGGAATGATGAGCCTCATTCTTTAATATCAACGTGGATTCAAAGGGAATTTTTTCTTCCAGATCAGTGATTATCCCTTGAATTTGATAAAACCTGGCTTCTGCAAGCAGCTCCCTTTGGACTTTGTTGTCATTTGGGCAGAAAAGGTTTCCATCTCGAAGATAGTTCAACACGTACCTTGAATGACGATGAAAATGACATGTGAAACCATAACCAGCTAACTCTACAGTGTGATATATTGATTGCGTAATCGTATATTTTGGGAATTTATGTGTTAAGTTGGAGGTCGAGTGCCAAGAATACGCAAATACAAATTTACAAATAGGTTGCATGAAAAACTCGCAGTTCTTATTTTGGTATAAACCTCGACCTAAAAAAGGGTAGATTGCACTTTTTTTTAAAGCGTAAATAACTGAAACGTTAAACTGATCACTATTTAAATTGATTTATACTATCATATTTCCTGTTCTATCTCCAAACAAGACACACAACTTATACAAGCAGCAGAAAGCGCGCTGGTTTCACATGAGTCTCAGACAATTCTCTATTCATTCCCGTAAGAAATGTCTGTATCCTTTTTCTGTATTGAGATTTTTGTTTCTTTAATTTATTCATCCTCCGCTTCAACGAGGAGTAAACTATTAAAATATCAACTCTGCAAAGTTGCCACGATGCTTAACCTGTATTCCTCTCTTGCAAATCGATTAACAATCTTAAAAACTTAGCTTTTTTGAAAGACATAAATGAACCCTTCGTGTGAAGGCAGGTTCCCTGTTGCTCAGAGTAAGGCGGAAGTGTTAAGATAACATACAATCATCATCAACGATATGATGAGTCAGAGCCACGAAACTACATGGCGTGAAATGTCAATACAATGACCAACCTTCCGTCTCTTATTATACATTACTAAAATGCGGTTTCAGTTGAGTTTCAGTTTGTTCCATTAGGATAAATTACCTTAATTTCCTGGGCCTAATTATTCAAAGAGCGGACAACGCTATCCCAAAGAAAAATTGGGTATAGAGCGGATAAGTGCTACGAGAACGCATACTGCGCTATTCACTGGATAGAAATTTATGCAGTAGATAGCGTTATTCACCCTTCGAAAAACCGTGGCCCCTGCTCATCCACTTCGATATGTTTTCTTTGCGTTTAAGTAAGTAGGAAATGAAAATCCGTTTGGCGACTGAATAATTCAAAACATAAGTGTTTGAGATGACTAGTAATTTCCCTCTAATCAATTTTTGCCTCGTCATCCGATCTAACTAAAGGTTCTTGTGTACTCTGTGAAATTACAATTTCATGGTATACTGATCAGGTAATGACGTTGCCTTTCACTTCTACGCGTTTGGAACACAGACACGGAAACTTTTTTTTTAGCTTTGCGAAAAAAAAAGCCATATATATATATATATATTTATATTTATTTACTATACGGACGTGAGTGGTGAGTGTTTTACTGAGAACTAAAACCACCTGCACAATCGATACGACCACTACATCCGGGAACCAGTTGGTTGGTTTTTCGTACGGTAACACTATGACTTGTGGCGACATCTAGTGACGACGTCTCCATTTCCACCTTTTCAAACTTTGCTGGGTGAGCTTGGTTTGTTTGTTGTTTGGAATGTATGAATGGCTGTAAAGGTCCGGTCAAATACACGAAACATTTCACCGCAACATCTTACTGCGCGCAACGTGTTGCACACGTTTGGCCACCCTGTATCAGCAAGTTGCAAGATGTTGGATGGGTTGGATCAAGATTGAAAATGGCCAAATTGTTGTTGCAATATTTTTGCATGTTGCAAAATGAGCTCCTTCACAACATCTTACAACACGATCCAACAATGTTGCAAGACATTGCGTTGGAATGTTGCGTGCGTTTGACCGAGCCTTGTTGTGGTAAGCGACGATGTAAATCCATTTCGGAACAAAAGGAGAAGGAAAACACCAAAAAGAAAACGCTGTATGATTTAAGGATTTCAAAGGAATTCATCCAAATTCAAAGGTTCGTTGTGAAAATAGGCTGAAAATAAAAGTATCTGATGATTCAAGTCTTGCAAACTCCACCTTGTATATTTATTGACCATA